TGAATTTTATGAATCCATAGAATTCAAGTAAAAATAAAATTCATTGAAATTAATCAAGTGGTTGTCGAGATATCTTCGCACAAACTTCAGAACGATTGTGATTGCAATGAGTGATGATCATCACCCCCTTGAGACAATAATTTTGCAAATCGCTATAAATAAAAATAACAAAAAAACAAGTTGTATAAATAAAATAAATATTGTATAAATAATTTTTATAATCTAACTTGGTTTTAATTCGTTTAATTTTGATATAATCTCATTTTTGAAATTGTCAAATAAGTTAGCTAAATCTTCTAACCTTTTTTAATTTGACTAATTTCAGAGTTATCACTAGTTAAATCATCCACACTTTTTTTAATCTGTCTAATTTCAGATTCATCATTAGTTAAATCTTCTAATATTTTTTTTAATTTGACTGATTTCAGATTCATTATTAGTTAAATCTTCTAATCTTTTTTTAATTTAACTGATTTCAGATTCATCTTCTTTATAAATAAATTCTAAAATAAAGGAGAAATATAAGGTTCCTCTAAAGTTGTCCATTTACCATTTTGAATATCTTTAATTAGATTATGAAGTTCATGTACATGTACTTCATAAAAGTTAAGAATATAAAAATAATATATAATAAAAATTATTTAATAAATTATAATTAATCAATAATAAATTATATCACACTTACATAATATTTAGAAACCAGTTACATTTTCTTCTTTGATATGGTAACATGTAAAATAATTTGATTTTAGTTAAAATCTATAAATAATATCAATAAATTTAAGGTGATTAATTTTTAAATGCTACATTTTTGCAAAATAAAAACCTTGAAATATTATATAAATGAAATAATATTAATTAAAAAAATTTTAATTTATATTTAAAACATGTTTAGAAATTTTTGGCATACTAAGTTAATTTTAGTATATATGGTTTAGTATGGTGCATTGTTATATATCAACTTAATACACTATACCAAATTCCAAACTTTGCTTCAAAATCCCTTGAACTTGTATTATATGTATTAAGATATTTATAAATATAATAATTTCCAAACAAACTAACATCAGTCCTTTGAATTAAAAAGTATTATTTGTTGTTGGTTTCATTTATTGCATCACTTATTAATCTAATAAACAAATTCATCAAATAAATTGTTGTAAAGAAAGAAAATATAATTACTAAAATAGTTAAAGCTATATCTTTATTTAAAACCCAAGAAGACAAAGAAGTTGTATCTCCTATTGTAAGTTATAATTAAAAACTTAGTATTATATAGCAAAAAATTATTATAAACATGATTTAATAAGGATGGTAATCCTAGTGTAGTGGTTGGGTTGTCATCCTTCAAGTGGCAGGTCTAAGTTTCAAATCCCACCCAGTGTAGGAAATCTAATGTTCTCATGTTCTTAAGAGAACATATTTTTGAATTTGAGAACATTTATTACTTTGAACATGTTCTCTATAAAAATTTTTTGAGAACATATTGCTTAATAAATATGTTCTCTATATACTATAGTACA